CAAGTGGATTTGGCTCACGGCGAATGAACGTAAGCGAAATACGTAACTCGGTGAGGATTTTTCGCGAAGGACGTTCCGCTCGATAAGAGTCACGAGAGAGCTGTTATCAAGACTGCACAAAGAAGACCGGAGAAGCGGCTGCTTTCCAACACGCTCCACTTTTCCGCTCGCTGTGTGTTTCCCATATCGTGCAGGAAAAATTCAGCGGCGCGCGACAACGTCCGCGCGATAACGTGTTATCTCGATATCGGGATAGTAAGGAATGTGCCGGGCGTTATTTCCCGCGGCCTCGTGCGATTTACCACGTGTTATTTTCTCCCCGGCGAGTCCAGGCCGATGCCTATCGGTTGTCAAATGGCGGGTTGTCAGCTCGAACACGGCAAACGAATCGCGACGTGGCGAGTCACCGCGATCATCATCCTTCGATCGTCACGCGGTAACGTAACGCGCACACACCTACATGTGTGTGTGTGTGTTTTGTGCGAGGTCGTGTTGAAAATCAACATCCCCCGGAGTTTTGCGAGCGAAATAACACGGGGGTTATAATGCAAAGGTGAGAATGCACGAACGTATGTCACCCCCGGTCGACGACTTCGAACTTGTCCTTAATCCAGCCGACGACGACTCCCACGTATTACGTTTTCACGAGCGAAAATTCCGCAGAGGCTGGCGTGGAAAATTTAAAAGGCGCGTCAGAGTCTCTGACCGGAGATGACTGGTGTCTCGAAGAAATACGTCACCGATCCCAAGTAACACAGTCTGGCTAAATTCGCCGCGACAGCAAAAATGTGGCTTTTGTATACAACGTTGTGTCAGCCTTGATTACAGCTACTTGACAGCAAATATCATTTTGATGGACTGCAAAAACGCTGTGACAGCTACTGAAAAGGTCAACACGCAACCACAGCTAAATTAAATGCAGCATTTTAGCTGTATTTAATAGCTATAAACTCGCTGTGACAGTTATCGAAGAAACCAAAAGTTAAGCTACATTGATTGGTGTGAAGTCGCTGTGGCGGCAATAACAAAAGCCAAAATTCAGCCACGTTAATGTTTAGCTACATTAATGGTTGTAAAAGAATGACAACTTAGAGAAAAGTCAAAACTAACCCCAGCCATTTTGCTACTTTTGGGGTTAAATAGTGAGTGACTGACAAGTTTTCAACATACAAAAAACACGACTGACTTGCAAAAGTTAAAGTATTCAAAAAGAGTAACGTGACTATCGATCACTTATGTTAAATCTAGTCATGTTTCGGCGATGGTCAAGTAGACTCATGCATTCATTATCACGGCGGCTCCTGAAATGATTACTTAAGGATTTGCGTGTAGTCCTGTAATTAGTGTACTTATGAATTTATGTCCGCGCTAGTATACTTATATGTATATGTACATTATAAATTACATTAATTTATAACGATTTATACTTATATGCATATGTACATTATAAATTACATTAATTTATAACGATTAATCAATATCTATTAATTTCTCAATTTGACCTAAATTTAGCGAGATGAAGGTCTGTCCGAAATTCAATCCTAGTTGAATCAAACTTTTTTAATTCTCCTTTCAATATTTTTGACATATTGTTTTTACGTAATTTAAAAACTAAAATTTAACTTTTATTAAATATTAATTTATACATGAAAAATATTCTCTGTTTATTATATAGTTTGGCTATTTTTATTTCGTCTGCCACACATTGCTGTAGGCTATGATGATCTTTTTATAACAAAATTTAAGGATATAGAATAATTTCAAAATATACCTTCCGATGGTGATTGAAATCGCGGAAAACATAATATTGTACGAATTTTAGATCTTTAATATCGGATTTTTAATATCTCGATAAGCGTCCAATAAAGAATCCGCTAAAATAATAGTCACGTGAAAAGACTGACGAGGTTAAAATTTAAGAATACGAAATAATTTAAAAGCGAATCCATCTGGATTATTGATATCGCAGAAAAGACCGTCACTGAATTTTAATATCAGGTATCTCGGCGAGTATCCAATGACGAATTCGCTGAAATAAAAATGAAACTACTGCTAAAACAAAAATTTAAGAATATGAAATAAATAAAAAATGTATTCTCCAGCGACAATTGAGGTCGCGGCGAATATTTTACCGACATCGTATGAATTTTAGGATTTTGATATCTCGACTAGAGAGTATCCAATAAAGAATTCTATCTAAAATAGAAACTACGTGAAAAACCTTTTAAGATAAAACTTTTAGGACGCAAAACAACTTGAAAATGCGTCCATCAAATTTACACTAAGAGAAAAAATACCTAAGAAATTAAAAATATTCATTCAGTGGCTACTAATAATATATTTATTTATATTAATCTATATATATCAAATGGAATGTCTGTCTGTCTGTTCCCTATAAACTCTTGAACCTTTGGACCGATCTGGATCAAATAGTTATTCCTTACAAAATATAGAAAACTATCCCTTCCTCTGATTTCATCCCTTCAAGATTTTGCAATAATCCGAGCAATTGCCCGGGTAGTTTAAGTTAATATAGAATATTTTTCAAGTGAGAAACTATACATTTTCTTGAAACTTTTTAGCAAAGCAACTTTTTCTCTGTTCTTTCTATTTAAATAAAAGAATCTAAATTCAAAAGTAAACATGTTATTGGTATCCATCGAATAAATATTTGTTATTTCTTAGATATTTTTTTCCGTGTAGGTAATTGCCATCTCAAAAAACGTCGTATAAATTTCAGAATTTTAATATCGGTGCCTCTCGACGAGTATTCAAAATAAAGAGTTCGTCAAAATAAAAATTACGTCAGATGATTGGAAAAATAAAGATTCAAGGTAGTACTTTAAAGGCCGAGATGATCGATAACTCGAAGAATACTTTATCAGCACCTAAAGGATTTCAGATTTTCAATAGCGAATATCCCGAGGAGAAACGGAGGATTCGCCACGGTAAAACTAACGCGAAACAAACGAAAAGATGGAGACAGATGCATAAGTGGGGGATTCCGCAGGCTCCGCGTGAAAACTTTAAAAGCGCATCCTCCTGCATCCTCTCGAGATGATCGATGCGTTGGAGAATGTTCTACCGGCGCGACATAGATTTTGCATTTTCACACGTGAGGGAAACTCGCGCGCGGAAGAACTGCGGCGAGATAACGATTCGCGCGGAAGAACTGCGGCGAGATAACGATTCGCGCGGATTGTGTCTTTACACTTCGTGTCTCAGGATTTCTTTTATTTCCGACGTTAAATACCTTCGTAATTACGTAATGCGAAGCGCGCGCGCGTGCGACATGGAAGGAAAGTGTGCCATGCATGGAGAGTACATTGTCTCGCAAGAGGACGCGGCAAATCTACCATCACGCATTCTAATTCGCTTGCGTATAAGAAACAAAAATCTCACACACACAAATCGTGCATCGCGGTCGTATATTGCGTTAAAAATCTACCACCATTTCAACAAAAGAGCATTATTACATGACTTGGTATTTCTCGATTGTGTCACTCGGCTCGTCATCGACGGTGACGCGCGTGCATTTCGATGAACTGCAAGATAAGTCGGAAACTTGAAGAAGAATCTCTTCAAGTCTCAGTGTCTCTCTCTCTCTCTCTCTTTTTCTCAGAAAGCCACGAGGTGAAAGTTCGCGTTACCGCTCCGGTGCGCGCTCTGCGTTCGCCTTGGGTTCGATCGCGGCTACGATCGACAAGCATCAGCTGTCAAGTCGCGAACGATCAGTCTATGGGAGACAAAGCGAACTGCATACCCACGCAGCCTTTGATGTCCGGCAATCAATTGGCCGTGGTTACACGAGAATAATCCAACCTACGTGAAGTACGTTTCGAGAAAAGTAACGATGAAAATCTGTGATGTACGATTTCAAAAGTAGCATCGAGGTTCTTCAGCAATCGTTCAAAAATTTAAGCATGATCAAATTACTTCTCTCTTCAAGAGTATTCATCGACAAGTTCCACTTTCAAGAAATAGATAAAAGAAGCAAAACTAGCAAAAATGGCACCATCGGTAGAAAATAAAAATTATTTTTAATTAATTTTAGACGTTCCTCTGGCGGAAATGGAAGAGCAAGAAAATATATAAAATGTCTAATAACATTTTCCCTCTTTTTTGTTCTGAAGAGTTCCAAAGCTCTTCTTTGTGCAAAAAAGGGTTTAGGTAAAGTGTTGTTAGACATCATTTTCTTTAGGGCTATCAAGCTTGGATCTGGTCTGTTTCAAAGATGTATGGCTACTCGTTGGTAAAGCAAAAAGTAAAAAATTATAATTTCATGGGTTGGATGATTTTAGTATAACAATGACATTAAATTTCCAGCGTCGCAGTGCTCAGGCGCGAGCAAACTCGAAGAAACGTCCAACTCGAGTCGAGTCGCAGGTTATGTCTGGGTTCTTAGAAGTGAGGTCGAGTGTGTGTGTGTGTGTGCGTGTGTGTGCGTATGTGTGTGTATGTAGCATCGTCCGTGGCGATCAATCGCTCCGAAAATTCGAATCGTCGCGAGAAAGTCACTGCGCGTCCTGCAGGACGCGCGTGCAGCTAGCTCGCTCGTCGAGCGAGCGCGAGCATCGGGGACGACGAAGACGCACGAGAGTCCCGAGCTACTTTGTAGGTCGGGTGACACCCATTAGCTGTCAAACCGTAAGACGGCGGATTAGCGGGCTTCGATCGGCCACGACGTGCCGCTCGTCTCGGCGATCCCATCGCGGCCGAGCGCGATCGATAAGGCGCGCACGGCGGTTCGTTGACGCGGATCGTCGCCAAGCGGGGAACGACGCCCGAGTACGCGACGACGCTGCATCCGGAGTCGGTCTTCCTTTCTCGCTCTGCCTCTCTTTCTCTCTCCCTCGCGTCACACACACATACACATCCGTACACACAACACGCTCTCTCACTCTCTCTCACGCGCACGGCGTATAGGTTAGGTCAGTGTCGAAGCGAAGGTCGGCGTCGCGGACGCGGTGTGCGTGCGAGGACGCGGTGCGACTACTCACAATCCTCCTCGGCGGACTGCTCCGGTCGGTGGTCCAACGCGGGCGCCGCCGGCCCGGAGAAACTCGTCTCGACCACCTCGATCACGTCCACATTATCGCCCGAAGCCATTTTGCGTGCGTCGCCTCCGTCCGATCACGCACTGACTCAAGCGCGGCGGTGGTGGCGGCGTCGGCGGCGATGTTGTTGGCGGCGGCAGTGGTGGTGGTGGTGGTCGTGACGGCGATGGTGGCGGTGGCCACGACGATGATGATGGTCTCCTTGACAGTTCCCCGTGGCAGATGCCTCCTCGGTCGTCGCGTTCTCGCCGACCCGCAGCGGACGCATGTTTCGACGACGACCCGCTGAGTCGCGCGAGCGAACGCGCGCGCGCGGGCGGCTCCCGTCGTCCGCGGGAACTCTCTCTCTCTCTTTCTCTCTCTCTCACTCTCTCTCTTTCTCTCTCTCTCTCTGTCTTTCTGTGTCGCCGCGATCCTCACGCGGTGGTTACTGCACGACCCGTCGTCGGCCTCCTCCTCCTCCTCCTTCTCCTCCTCGTCGTCGTCGTCGTCGTCGTCGTCGTCGCGACTCGCTCTCGCGCGGCATACCGCGCGTATCACGCGTTTCTCGTGCGACGACTACACCTCTCACCCGTGGCTGCGGCGCGCGAGGAATCGCTCCTGCTCCGTCGTGGGCTCTCCGAGAGAACCGAGAGAGCGCCTCCGGACACTCTTCCGCACGTCGCTTATCGACCGAACGGCGGCGAGCCGCGACAACAGCGACGCCTGTCGGCCGCCAAGCGAGCTCGATTCCGGGCCCTCGCAGTCGCGCTAGCATTGTTCGAATTCTCGCGCGCATCCTCGACGCCGGAAGTCAAAGCAATGATGGAAGTGACGGTGAGACACTTCGACTCTGGTCGCGGATCTTCTGAGGGTTTAGGAATATTTATGCGTCGAATTTTCGGAATCATCAATTGGACGTTCCGTGGCTGCGAGTCGTTGTTGGTCTCTCAGTTGACTCGAAGAGCGCCGCCTGTCGCGGGAATATGACTCGCTGGCGACGGCGATTAGCGCGCGTCGACGCACCTGGATATACGGATAATAGTTCGAGATGTAGAATTGCGCGAAATGTGCACGTTATATCTGTACTTTTGTGATAAGAATATGTCTCGTGCGACAAGAAAAACTGATAAGTTTCTCTAATCTTGGACGAAGAAAGAAGAATTTCTTATCGACATTTCTTACAATTAGTGATATTACTGTGGGAGATACACAGATGTCACTCCATCGCCGTGACGAGTAGAGTCACTCTAATCAGAGTTAGGTCACAACGTGCGGTTTCGTCAAAATTCCGCAAGAAAGAGAGACATATTTTTAATCTCTCTCTTTGTCTATCTTTTCTTAACCTAACCTAAACTACTGCCATAGGCGTACTGTGATTGAATATTGTATGGAATTGACAAAACATAGCGAACCAATCAAAAGTTCTTTTATGGCCAAACTCTGATTAGAGTGACTCTAGTGACAAGTAACAGCGAAACGTATATGTAAAGCTAAAAGTATTCGTTTGCAGTTACAACAGTTAATTATATTAAAGATTTGTTTATTACAATGTTTTTAGTTAACTATATCATATTAGGTCTCTTTTTCTTTTTCTTTCTTCTCTATAAAAGAAGAAATACTAATATTAATATTAAATATTAATATTAAAAATTATTATAAAATATTAATATTAATATTAAAAATTAGAAAAAAGAAAGAATTAATTATAAAAGAAGAAAATATAGTTCTTTTTTCGACTTACGGAGATAGAACCTTACCGTTCTCGCCCTCTATAAGAGAAATACACTAAATTACATGCGACTGGTGATAAAACTGTTTTGTATTTTCTGCGTCCAATAAACTATTATTCCAACACACTTCTGCATTTTCTCTAGTGAAAAAAGAGACATAAAAGTGTTTATGAATGAATATCTTCGATGGAGAAATCGAAATTTGCCGCTTGAAAGTGGCAAATTTCATTCGATACGAAGTTTATTGCTGATGATGGTTCATGGCAGGAAAATCTGAAAGTTTTGGGAAATCTCAATGTTAACGAATGTTCTTGGCGGACAGAAGTATTTAGCGCAATCCGCGAAGGATACATTTATTGAACAAATAATTCTTCAATACGTAAAAAGAATGACACGGTGCTCATTGATTGATCTGTATAATTCATTGTGTAATCGTGCGGTTTACCTTCCAGCCGCGTCATGATTAACTTAAAGCGGTTTCTGGACAAGATATTGTTGCAAAGGATATTGCTGTTGAGCATCAGCGGCGTGATCGCGCGTGAGATCTTGACCGGCTATGCCGATTACAACAATCAGGTTATGTATCTCCAAGTTCTTCGAAATTTCTTGATCTCGAGATCCGCTTTTAAAAACACCGAAAGTATCACTTACAAGGGACACTGCTCAAGTGTGACGCGCCATTTTTCTTGAAACTCAGCACGCACATAGCATATGACATGACATTTTATATGTAATGCTTTATATCGACCTGTTTTTTAATTTGCACAATAATTTAGACGATTGTTTATGGGTTTTGGACTTATGGATTTCAGATTTACGGGTTTATGAGTTTTGAGTGCATGAATTTACGTGCTTATAGTTTTTAGGTTTATGTGTTTTAGATTTACATGTTATGGACTAAATATCAGTTTTTACGTACATCACCATTTCGAATTTTGTTTAAACAATCGTCCAAATAATTGTGCAAATTACAAAACGGGCCGATATAAAATATCAAATATAAAATGTCATGTCATATGCTATGTGCATGCTGAGTTTCAAGAAAAATGGCGTGACACACTTGGATATTGTTTCTTTGTTAGTCAATATAAATTATAAGAACGCGTTAAGAAAAAATCGCCACTCTCTGCGTCTTGTTGCGAATACGCAAAATGTTCTATCTCTCTTTCTCCCTCCCTCTCCCTCCCTCTCTCTCTCTCTCTCTCTCTCTCTCTCTCTCTCTCTCTCTCTCTCTCTC